TGTATGTTTTTTATTAAGATCTATTAGGAACATGTATACCGGGTTTAAGAATGATCGTCGTTTCGGTGAAGATTTGGCGATGGAGATACTACAAAGGTTACCTGTGAAACCGTTGTTGCGATTCAAATGCACGAGCAAGAATTGGTACAGTCTTATTAATAGCCATATGTTGATTGGTAAACAGTTGAATTATCATGAAAGTAAGAATAAACTGAAAATGTTAATATACCAATACAAGACACTATTGAATTGACAATTAACATCGAGAAGAGTATATATAGTTTAGTCTTGCTAGGTCTCTTAAGGCTGTGCATTGAATTCTTAAACCTAGAATTTGATGTCTTTATTTAACAAACCTTCTCCCCATGAGAAAATTTGAATAGATCGATCAATCTGTAATTTCACATTGACTTCTGGGATTCTAGCACTGTCATTTTCTTTACTAGACGTTCTCGGGTGGTCTCCTCTGATGTACAGGTTGGGGAGATGGGGCATTTTAGATTTCGATATCAGAGCCAGAGAAGTAGGTGTAGAATTTATTATTGCAAGGAGAGCTTTAGTAACAATTGGACGAGTAAATGAGGATCTGGACCAACATATTTGACTCCTCTGTGAGCATCTGATATAATTTAATGAGTTAAAATCTAGTAAAATTCATAATATTGCAACTTGCAAGTAAGTAACTATACTATTTTTGTAAGTTACTAATTTAATTTCAAGTGCGTTGGGCTTAACCATTTAATTGCGGTACATTTAGCCATGGCTCAAATAGCTATTGTAGAGTCGTATTGTTTTCTAGTTTCTCTTAGTTACTTGGTATCTGTTAAGTAGAGGAATTATAGGGTGCCTCCAACTTTATAAACTAGTGTAATATATATGGCCACCAGCATTATGCAGACTCGTTGAAGATTTAGAAAAGGAAGTTGCGATTCAAGTGCTTCTGCAATAGGTGGTTCACCCCTCTCTTTATAAGATAATACGGCCACCGGCCTCAAGGAAATTAAAGGGAGGTTGTCTATGTTGCAATTCAAGTGCATGCATTTGACATAATATCAAATTCCTAAAGCACTTTGTTTTGCATCTGTTGTTTAAAAATACTCTACTTTTTATTCTTCCCATACAAGTTACAACACAAAAAATAGAAAAAGAAACTAATGCTAAAAAAATACTACGGAGTATAAAATAAGTCATCTTAATTCTCCATTTTGGATTAAAATGTGCTATAATGCAATACTTCTCCATTTCTCATCTTCAAAGATTTCACTAATAAAAATATATTTATTTGTGATTTAATTATATAATTCAATTTATATACATAACATGAAAATAATATAATTCAATTTATAAAAGACATTAATTCAATCCGCTAATCACTGCCAATTCACTAGTTCTCTCCCATTAAAATTTAATACTATATATTTTTTTCTTCCCCCAATTTAATACTATATATATTTTTTTCTTCCCCTCCTGTATGTTTTTTATTAAGATCTATTAGGAACATGTATACCGGGTTTAAGAATGATCGTCGTTTCGGTGAAGATTTGGCGATGGAGATACTACAAAGGTTACCTGTGAAACCGTTGTTGCGATTCAAATGCACGAGCAAGAATTGGTACAGTCTTATTAATAGCCATATGTTGATTGGTAAACAGTTGAATTATCATGAAAGTAAGAATAAACTGAAAATGTTAATTCATAGCCATGATGACATTCCCAGAGTCGACATAATTTCGAATTCGGAAGGAACCCCTGTAATTGAAAATGCTGATCATCTGTCGAGTTTTCTTGCTAATACATATCTTATGGGAGGCCATGTGAATGGCGTGTTTTTATTTCAAAAAGGATGTGGTGGATCTGATTGTAGAATGGGATTGTGGAATCCTGCAACAAGGGGGGTAAAGATCTGATTGAGTGTTGACAACTTGGTTTATCAAAACGGTCTTTTATGAGTTTGATTTATTCATGGCTTTAAGTTTTTTGTTCCAAATGGGATTGCGTACGTTAATATGCCAATACAAGACACTATTGAATTGACAATTAACATCGAGAAGAGTATATATAGTTTAGTCTTGCTAGGTCTCTTAAGGCTGTGCATTGAATTCTTAAACCTAGAATTTGATGTCTTTATTTAACAAACCTTCTCCCCATGAGAAAATTTGAATAGATCGATCAATCTGTAATTTCACATTGACTTCTGGGATTCTAGCACTGTCATTTTCTTTACTAGACGTTCTCGGGTGGTCTCCTCTGATGTACAGGTTGGGGAGATGGGGCATTTTAGATTTCGATATCAGAGCCAGAGAAGTAGGTGTAGAATTTATTATTGCAAGGAGAGCTTTAGTAACAATTGGACGAGTAAATGAGGATCTGGACCAACATATTTGACTCCTCTGTGAGCATCTGAAATAATTTAATGTTTGCAGCCAAGATATTGCTTATACAATGCCAAATTCCTTAAGACGCTTCGTCTTATAACAATAGTTGTTGTTTGAGTGTTAGCAATTTTGCCGACTTGCTTTATATATAGGAGATGAAACATAGAGAAAAGTTGCAGTTCAGGAATAAACCAGCAGTTGTAATATTCAACAGGTACACAATTCAGAAGATTTATCTCAGCCTCTTCATGCCTGTCCATTGGATTTGGATCCCTACACCCTAGAAAGCTCTACAAGTGTATCCTCCAACTGTAGGTGAACAATTTGATATGTTCTTGTTTACCAAACCCTTTCCCCATGCAAAAATTCGGATAGGTCGATCAATCTGTAATTTCTCATTGGTGTCTTTCTCTAGCTGCAAGCAGTACTTATCAAAGTTCTCAACACTTACGTGCAGTCGGAAATCAAGGGCTGCCAAGAATTTCATCTCCAGCTTGTTCAGTTCTGTTGTGGTTATTCCTCCTACTTTTGCATAATAAGCATTGTTGTAGCAGCTGAAAAAAGTGCTAAAATCTCAATTGTATAGAAAAGACATAAAAACTCAGATTAGGAAGGATACTTACTCATCATCTACAAACTTGACAGCCAACATGATGCTAGTGATGAGAAGCCGGTGAACATTAAGAGAGGTGAGTAAACAATGAGTCAGATTGAGGAATCTCTCCAAATATATGTATGCAACCACGAAACAGGAAGGACTGCAGTTGGAGTACTTAAAAATGCGCTCAATGTACTGCTGAACAGTCAAAACAGGGGCTCTTGTCCCATGGAAGACAGTCACAACACCTCTCTTATTTGATCCCTTCAATGCCTTTTCATTCTTTTGAACTGACCTCTCAACAACTGAAGCTACAATCCATAGAATCTTCGGATTTCCTTTATCTCCTCTATCATATTCATTCAACCCCATATTTGTATAAGTTTTCGAATTCACAGATTTTGTACCAAAACCCTCTGCTCCCATGATCATTTTTGAGGTTAGACAATTTTTTTTACACAATGAAATCACAACTAGTGAGCATAATATATATATATATGACTTGTTGATTTTAGGTGGGAATAAAGGATTGTTATCAGAATTATTTTTTCCTTTTTGTTTGGTTTTCCTTTTTGCCTTAGAAATTTATTCCTTTTAGCATCTTGGCGTTGCTTCTACGTTGGTCAATATTTCTAAAGAATATCAACGAGGGGGGCAAAATGATACAGCAGATGCACTATCAACATAAAAAGGTAAGTACTATAGTTAACTTTTCCAATTACTTTAACAAAATAAAGTTAACAATTAAAAAAAATAAAATGATGAGTAGTAAATAGGTATATCATCTTTTACAAAAAAAAAATCAAAAAAAATCAACAGAAGTCAAAAAGAATTCATCCACAAGGAAAATGAGTAGGATTTAAGGAAAGTAAATTGTACGCAAATCTTACTTCTGTCATGAAAAATGAGGAGGAAAATGGATGAGGAGAGAAAAATATCATGTTTGATTGAGATTCTCTACACTCAAACCTAATTAATCAACAATGGTTCATTTTTACTTAATACCAGAATTATCAAGAAAATCAATGCGATTCTATTCTATTTTTTATTTTTATTCTTTTAGGTAATACATAATGCCAAAAGATATGTGAACAGAATAATTTAATTACGATATAATGTGTACATCAATGAATGACGAAAAGCAAATAGACTATATAACCAAAAAAAAACACCAAAATAGTACAAATTAGAGATAATAATCTTTGTTTTTGTTCAAGAGGATAATATTCTAACTTATCTCAAGAATCAACACTAAATTCTAGATCACTACATGAGTATAAATCCTAATGTTTTATTCTATAACATTTCTGATACGAGATCCAAAATAAAAATGATGGCAAAGGCACCAAGGAAAATCCCCTAACAAATTATCTCATGCTTTAATTAAGTTTCAAATTTTTTGCATTATATTCCAACACCATCCAAATGATACTTTTTACAATATATACTAGAGTACTTTTTATGCATTATTTCCTTTTCTTTAACTTTATGATATGCTTTCTTTTCATTTGTCTTGTATGTTTCCACCTTTTCATCCAAAAAAGTCCATGAAGGCAGGCCACCAGCTTGGTAGGAAAAGAAATTTACATAAGTCATGATTGGATAATATTAGGCCTTTGTTTAAAATTACTATTCAAAAGTAGATTTAGCAACAAAAAAGATTTGAGTTTCTTTTTGCAAATACTGTTTGTTTGAGCTGTTTTTGTAAGAATTTCAAACTCACCTTTTCAATTTTGTTTAAAACTTCAATAACTGTTAATTTAGGTGTCATATTTTTATAGTCTTTTTTTTTTTTTCTTTTTCTCTTTTCATAATTTCACTGTAAACTTCAAATTTAATCTTTAATAAGGTACTTATAGTTATACAAATATCTATGACTCGTACAAACCACAAGCTTTAAAAGTTATTTTTACTTTCTTTAACTTCATGTTCATCAAACGCCACCACATAAATTGGGACAATAGGAAGTTTCATTTTTTTTTTTCAAAACAATAACAGCTCAAACAAATTAAGCAGTCTCTGGCAGTGAGGACTATGATTTTCACATAATGAAGTATATATGTGAAGAGGTCTAAGGAGATTCAACAAATAGTATATATATATATATATCAATTTATCAATCTATACAGTGTGATTTTTCAGCGAGGAGATATCAATTGTCACCTCTTGGAAGGGTGCTCTGCCATTGTTTCTTGCTAATTTTCTGAGATAATTGAATACATGGACATTTTCTTTGAGCCTATACAAATACATTTCTTAGCTTATCTAGCTAGTAGAACAAATGTAAAATAACATGATGTAGAAACATTTCTACATCATGTTATAAAGAGTAGAAAAAGTTATATCAATTCCCTTACCCCATCAGCTAGAGCAGAAGTGATCAGTGATACTCTGTGTATTTATAGCTAGGATATTCTTAGCACTAAAAGAATAAAATTGAAGAAAAGAATGTGACAGAAGTACACAAAACTATCTGATTTATACAGATTTAATTTCCCACTAGAGTCCTTGAGAAAAAGGAACATTTGTGTAAGGCAACCAAGTATCTCCCATAGTGAAATTATAGACAGTAAAGTTCATTGCTTGTAAAGCATTCATTAAGCTATAACCAGGCCATTGTACTCTCATTGTAGTATTAGCCCCTGGTCCATAATTCTCAAACTCCCCATAATAAAGGGTGTCTAGTCCATACGTTCCGTTCCACTCTAACCATCCAACAGGCGTGATCACGTCTCCTATATAGGACTGCATGATAACAGTCCTTGAGTAATTGTGCCAAGGCCGACCAAGAAAACTCAACGTGAGATTCGGGTCCTGTGCCAAATCAGGGGCAGCTTGAATTGTGCAGTTCTGGATAGAAATGCCAGTGTTCTGGTTGGGATCACTCCGGCCTTGTGCTGTGAAGATGTTCTTTTGGTCTGGCATTGGCTTCCTAGCAAAAAGATTGCAATTTTGGAAAATTGCAGCTGCATTGCCAAATATGAAGTCAACAGTACCATAAATATCACAGTCTCTGTAGAATTGTCTTAAAGAGTGCACGTATAACGTGTCTTGATAGCCCTCAAAACGACATCTATAGAACGTGGAAAGGTCTGCATTGTTCCTTAGAGCTACAGCTTGGTGCTTCCAAGGACTAGCTACGTTCTTGAATGTTATGTTCACGGCAACAAACCGCTCCCCTGAAACAGCTGCACATGGAAAAAAAGATTTAGATACCTTTTGCTTAAATGTAGTAGTAACACTTGAATATAGAGTTTCACCTGTAGAATATGTTGCGACTATTTTTCACTTATAAGGGTTAAAAAGCGGCTATTTGTGAATTTTATTTGAAAATGACCGGGAGGCATAGTTTACTTACCAAAGGTTGCTGAATTGTAGGTTGTCCAGCCATCTATGACACTTCGATTTCCAGCAATCACAGTGCGATCAACTCCTTCTCCAATCAACATAATGTTCTTCTTGTTCTTGGCCATGACAACATACTCCTCGTAGTATCCTTCCTTTGCGTAGATGAGAAAATAACCATCATCAATCATTGAGTTATTAGGTGCAAATGCAATGGCTTCTCCTATCGATGAAAAGTTGCATCCACCGTAAGGGCTAACTGTTACAGTTTCCTTAATGTGTACTCCATTTTCTACTAACTCGTCAAGAATCCTTCCATCCCTTTGATGAGACATCTCCAGTGCTTGTTTAACCTGTTTGCTAGCGTAAGTTTTCTTTAAACAGATAAATGCCTAATATGAAAAATCATAAAGGTAGATGAAACTATATGTAATTTGCGACAATTTATAGTACCATAATTTACCTTAAAAATCTTTTTGAGTAGGTACTTTGATCTCTTATGTCATGACTTTGTATTACTAGCATTAATTGTGATAGGGATGATTTAATCATTTTTGTTTAATTTTTCTTACAGCAATTGACATGCAATATATATTTATTTATTTTTGGAAAAGAAATGCTCATAGAAGAGATTGGGTAAGCCACAAGAATAAGTACTCTTTTCCTTTGGACCTTGACACCCAAATAAACAAGTCATGTGGGAAACACAATACTTGATCTAATAAAATTCCAAAATTTGAGTATTTGGTAGTATTTGTTTTGATGATCACAATAGGTGGCACACCAAAATCTAATAATCACTCACCTCTTTTCTTGCATCCTCTGGCCTTTCATTAGTGAAGGGGCTTAGATCCTTGTTTTTTTTTTGAAAGGGACCATAATTTTAAAGATGCCAAGTTTTTTTTTGTAGTTCATGATAGTTGGTTTCAATTTTTTTTTTTTCTTTTAATTGTATAAAAAATAAATCTTATAGGATTTACATATTAATTATATTTTGAATAAGAAAAAAATATTTTTAATATAGTTGTTTTTTTGGTAGAGCATGTGGGAAGGAAGATGAATATGTCAGAGTTCAGAGTTGCTTGCCTTTACCAATTGTTTTCCCCACATGCAGATTTATAAGTACCAAATTCTGAAAAAAAAGAAGGAAGATGTACTGATGTAGGGACTATACTGGGAGAGATGTTTATTTGTTTGGGATGCAATCGAATGAAGCTAAGGTAGGGACAACTGTATATTGACTTTGAAGCCATAACATACGGCCCATAACTCAAATTTATTTGCAGTCACACAAATCAAAATTTCCATCAAATGTTCTAAGTATTTTTTTTGCCAGCATTTTAATTTCTAACAACTCTAAAGTCAAGAATTAGGTGCAATTTTTTCGTTTCTCTAGCTAGAACTAGAATTCGGCAACTTAAACATGTCAGTAATTTAAGGGAAATAAATAAGCCAGACACTATTTTTTTTAAAACGTTATTTTTAACCTATTTTCCTCATATTTAAATTTCATTTATTTTTACAATCCTAATTGTTCTAATATGGTACATGTAATTTTCATTTTTAACTAGGGTATCACGTGGTTTTCTCAGGCCAATCAATAGAAAAAGAGAAAGATACAAAATCTACCAGCTCTCATTTCCATCTAGTTGTTAGTAGAAAACAAAAGAGAGTGATCACTTACACTATGCAATATTTGCTCTACCAAACAATTTCTTTTACTATATAGAGAAAATAGGGGTATGTAGCATCTAAATTACTTGTAATTAGTCTATAAATTCTCTGTTCATATCATATAATTTTTAAAAAAATTGGTTAGTCAAATAAAAATTATATATTTATAAATATATTTTTGAAAAATACTTGATTTAACAAGAGATTTTAATTTTTTTTAGCAAACAAACTACTTAGGAGTACTAGTCATCACAAAGGATAGAGACCTTCTAGTTGTGAGTAGAAGACAAAAGAGAGTCAGGTCATGTACAGTATTGTTCTCCCCTAACAAGAAACATATTCGATTACTAAATATAATTTTTAATGTAAGGTAAATATTTTGGGTAATTAAGCAAGAGCACCAGTTCTTGAAATGGGAGAAGTAGAGGCAGCAGTACTCTTCTTAATAACGGTGCACTTTTAATTCGACGTAAAGATCTATGTATAGACATAGTAGCTTCAATAATAGAGAGCGGTGGAACAATCAATGCAATGGGCAGTCAACTTGCAGC